GTAGTTTTTTTTGTTTTTTGTTTTTTGTTTTTGTGGAAGACTACATTACTGTGCATATTGTTGTTGTATCCTGTGTGCACTAATACATTTAAAGGAACTCTCCAGTGCCAGTAAAATAAAAAAAATTCTGGCACTAGAGAATCCTGAAGTGCCCCCATCCCATGTTGCTGAAGGGGTTAAAACCCCTTCAGCTACTTACCCGAATCCAGCGCTGATATCCCTCGGCGCTGGGTCAGGCTGCGCCTACGCTCTTGCTCCGCAATGGCCACACTATTCAATGCTTTACTATGGGGAAAGTCTGATGCTGAATGTCCGTGAGGATGTCCAGCGTCCGATAACAGACCAAAGATCGGTTTGGATTCCGGTATTTGGATTAGGATTCCGTTAGACAGCCACAGAGGGCAGACTTAGAACGGAAATGTTTTTCATTGCAACACTAAGTGCAAAAAGGTCACAGCACAACCACTTCAATTAGCTGAAGTGGTCTGGGTGCCTGGAGTGTCCCTTTAACTATATAGCGCCTGCATTGTGTAGCTCGTAGACTGTACTTGGATTCTGATGTGACCTTGTTACAAACCCTGTCAGGCAACTGCTCCAAGTTTTTCCTGGTTTGTTTATCTCTGTGTTTATAAAGCCCTAGTCACAGCTCCCTGCACGTGGCTTACACAGCCATCCCAAACACTTCCTGTAAACAGTCATCTAATGTTTACACTTCCTATATCACAAATTCTGTTTAATTTACAATTTCTTATTTTCTGCTATGTTAATGGCTTGCTAGACCTTGTTTTAGCCTCCTGTGTGTGATTAAAGTTAAATTTACAAAGCAGGAATTAAAAAAACTTCTAAAGTAAGTTACATCTGATGGAAAATAAATAAATTTTAAAATAAATAAAATGAATGGTAAAATAAAAGGATTGAGAAATAAACACTTTTGTGACAGGCAATAGAGGGTTGTAGTTAATGGAATATATTCGAAGCTTGGACTTGTCACCAGTGGGGTACCTCAGGGATCTGTACTTGGACCCATTCTCTTTAATATTTTTATTAGTGATATTGCAGAAGGTCTTGATGGTAAGGTATGTCTTTTTGCTGATGATACTAAGATATGTAACAGGGTTGATGTTCCAGGAGGGATAAGCCAAATGACAAATGATTTAGGTAAACTAGAAAAATGGTCAGAATTGTGGCAACTGACATTTAATGTGGATAAGTGCAAGATAATGCATCTTGGACGTAAAAACCCAAGGGCAGAGTACAGAATATTTGATAGAGTCCTAACCTCAACATATGAGGAAAGGGATTTAGGGGTGATTATTTCTGATGACTTAAAGGTAGGCAGACAATGTAATAGAGCAGCAGGAAATGCTAGCAGAATGCTTGGTTGTATAGGGAGAGGTATTAGCAGTAGAAAGAGGGAAGTGCTCATGCCATTGTACAGAACACTGGTGAGACCTCACTTGGAGTATTGTACACAGTACTGGAGACCGTATCTTCAGAAGGATATTGATACCTTAGAGAGGGTTCAGAGAAGGGCTACTAAACTGGTTCATGGATTGCGGGATAAAACTTACCAGGAAAGGTTAAAGGATCTTAACATGTATAGCTTGGAGGAAAGACGAGACAGGGGGGATATGATAGAAACATTTAAATATATAAAGGGAATCAACACAGTAAAGGAGGAGACTATATTTAAAAGAAGAAAAACTACCACAACAAGAGGACATAGTCTTAAATTAGAGGGACAAAGGTTTAAAAATAATATCAGGAAGTATTACTTTACTGAGAGGGTAGTGGATGCATGGAATAGCCTTCCAGCTGAAGTGGTAGAGGTTAACACAGTAAAGGAGTTTAAGCATGCGTGGGATAGGCATAAGGCTATCCTAACTATAAGATAAGGCCAGGGACTAATGAAAGTATTTAGAAAATTGGGCAGACTAGATGGGCCGAATGGTTCTTATCTGCCATCACATTCTATGTTTCTTTCATGTAATCATTCTATTAAATGATGGAGCCAGGATGGTACATTTAGCTTTGTCCTTGTTGTTCCTCAGCTACGTCGTTATGCTCCATACACATTTTATTGACCTCAGTTGAAAAGGTGAGCTAATCCTACCATGGATGTTTATTTGTGGTATAAACTACTTTTATTTTTAACCCCTTAAGGACCCAGGCTTTTTTGTGATGGGACATGTTTGTGACTAAGGCTCCTTTGGCATGATTGCCATGCGTTCAGTCTGCCACATTTTCCCACTTTCTGTTTCAAGCGTCTCTGCCACGCCATACTTACCTTTCCCAAACATTTCTTATTTCCTATTCTGTCTTTCTTTTCATACAGCAGGCAGAGCCCAGCACCGGTCGCTCAGGGAAACCTCTCCAAGGTTTTTTCAAATTTACCGCGGTCGCTCAATTCCAAGCTCACCTGTCAGTCTGCCAGAGGGGACCCCCAGGTATCAGCAGGGATTTAACCCATGATGGTACTTTTACTGCATGACGGTCTATGCAATAACTGGGCATTAAAGCATATACAGTCATGTCGTCATTAAGGGGTTAAAAATAAATAATAAAACTGCAGTAGGCACAGAATCCAGTCAGTATAGTCGTGGAATAATGAGGACCACAAAACTGCCTACCTATATCACATTGACTTTAGTTGAATTAAAAGTGTTGCTTTTGTTTGTTAATTGCCAATTAATATATTATTCTCCCCTCACCACTAATTGTTGTACTGCAGACTTTACACAAAAACAAATGCAGTTTGAAAAAAAAGCAAACAAACATAGAAAAGATATATTAAATGCAGTGACAAAGATTTTCTGAATTAGACAAATATCTCTTTTCGTGATACTCAATCTCCAAATATTCTCCACTGTCTGTATGAATCCAGTATAAATGGAAAATACAAGCTATAAACCAGTGTAAATAAGACAAATAGCTTTCAGTAAAAGTATCCACGCTTACACCATGAAATATTGACTGTATGTGTACACAGTAAAACCAGCAAGGCAAATTAGCCCTACCGTGCCATGTAATATCGTTTGATTTGTTAGAATTTCAATGGAAACTCAGTGTGCCGGGTGCCAGTCAGTCTTAGTACCCGGGGATCCAGAAAGCAGGCAAATCTGCTATAAAACCTTTTTACTTACTGGGGAACCGCGCCAGGCTACTTCGAGTGTCATACTCACTACACGATGCTTGCAGTAACCCTTTAAACAACGAGTACTGTGTCGGTAACTAGAAGTAGCTGTAGCAGAAACCAGTGATTTTTGTAATATACAGTTAATATGACAAAATAAACACAATTCTATAAATAGAAATCTTTGCCATTTTTGGGAATGCAGAATGCGTAGGAGCCTTTCAAATATTTACTCATACAGACTCCTGCCTGGTTCAGTCATAATGTAATTTACAGTCCAGCTCTGAATTAGCCGTGTAAGGACCAGCACCGGAGCAGACTTCGGAAGACTTGTTAAGTTTTATCTTGTATTGCAGTACGTTACCAGTGATGTGTGCACCCATTGCTGATAGTGAAGGGATTACGTCAGATTTACCACTAGTTTGTCGCACTACAACTTTGTTAACAAATATATTGTCAGAACGTTACATGGTGTGATCGTAACAATGTTCATGAATCTGTAATGACTGCTTCACTTTATTTCCTGTGGAGTTCCTAAGTAGAACCTGGTGCAGCCAATAATGCAATAGCAGATGGGTGCTTGTATGCTCCAAGTCTACACCCTATATAACTCCCATTCCCAGCTGCTGACGTACAGACACTAGACCATAGTAAAGGTTTATTTTTGCAAGAAATTGATTCATTCCAGCATTTCCGTCACAGGGAAGAAAATACTAGTCCACTTCAAACATTCTGTTCAGCCATTATCATGAGCGTAGGACACCGTAGCTCAGAATCTAATATTTACCATTTTACAGGAGTGGTGGTGGATGCGTGTAATGAAATTCCTGCGGAAGGTTTACGCTAAGTGTAGCAGACAAATCAAGAATCTCATTTGGGCATCAGGAAATCTGATTATTGTCAATGGAAAATGTTCCTTCCCTGGAAATGAAACCATTTAATAAATTAGTAATATTATCTAAAATGTGTATTAAAATGTTTTCTGTATTAAAGTGTGAATGGAGGCCCATTCGAAAGCCAGGGGAGGTAATGCTGGGGCTATAGGAATAGTAATTTAATTCCTAATTGGCAGGGAATTCAGCAGTGAGCCTACGGGGGACTGATTTAAACTGCTTCGCCAAGCTGAAGTGGTTTTAGTGCTTATACTAAACCTTTAAATATAGGGGATAAGTAAACGTAATACTACTTTTCTACCCTTACCCTTTGTGTCACTATACCCCACTCCCTCTAGCATGTAAGCTCACTGAGCAGGCACATCAACCCCTCTGTTCCTGTGCATCCAATTTGTCTGGTTACAAATATGTGTCTGTTAGCCCACCCACTGTACAGCGCTGCGGAATAATATTAATATAAAAAAAATCATAGTAATTGAAATTTCTCCCTTAAACGTCGCTGCCAGTAAGAACCGCTGTTGGAGACTGTGATTGTGGTTTCTACTAATGTACAAATTCCTTGATAAAATTGCAAGTATAATGGTATTTATATAGAGCAGTTTATATGCTACACAAATACTATTTGGCAGTTGTGTAAACGCATTCCCAGGTACCTGCATGTATTTGCACATGGTACACAGGTACCATGGCGTGACCCTGGCCATGTCCCATCATGCTTTGCGTAGGTCTCTGGGTTTTATAGCTGCCCTGGTACACTGACGGCTCTAAAAATGTGTATTTAGATAATGACTTCCTCACATCCTTTCTATGCTGATCATTCGTTATGTCATCCATGAACAGGGCGGGATAGAATTTCTGCTTCACATTTTGTCTTCTCTCGCAACCCTATCCTTTACTTCTTTTTTTTTTTTTTTCTGTTTCTCCTCAACTTTTCCATTCTGTGGGAGTTTAGACTCTTCGGTTCTTGCAGCTGTTTGCAGCAGACCTTGGGAGTGTTTTACTTTCTACGTGTAGTCGCTGGGAAAGGCTGATCTGACGAGTGCTCTAAATAATAATAATAATAATAATAATGGTTTTTAACTGCTTATTCAGGGCATGCAAATGTCATCCTGGTCCTTCTGTTTTATCCCTTCTCACAGGTGAAGAAGAAAATCTGGATATTTTGGGTTTGAATTGTGGATGTTTTTAAAGTGGATTTCACCTTGAGAATCTCAGCGATCTGGAGGAACAGAAGGTAAAATAAATGATCTTGGTTAAACTGTCTGCCCATTCTGCTGATCTATGTACTGTCCTGTCTGCCCAAAGTTGTTTGTATCATATGAGCGTTGCATGTTGTTGATGCCAGGGTGGGTATATAACACAACCATATACTCAGAGCAGGAGCAAAAAAATCCGGTGACTGTGTTTAGAGAACAATAAGTCATAGGTAGCTACCCTTTGCACCCCAATGTTTTTAACTACATTTCCAATGATGCTATGCTAACCTTTAGGCCGGTTGGACATCATGAAAGTGTAGATCACAGATATTTGGACGCACAAAACTTAAGGCTTTATTTGTTTCATTGTGTAGTTTGTGTTAAGCTACGCAACAAATAAAACTCAAGGCATTACATTGACTTTTTATTAATATTAGCAGGGATATTTATTTGTATTAGGAATTTAAATGTTTTTACGTGTCGCAGCTCATTTAGGTTTTAAACGGAGGGAAAAAATAATTATGTACATCTGTGTCATTGTTTAATGACTGGTTAAAGGGAGCCTTTTGGTATCAAGTGGTTATGGGCAAATGACAGTTTGCCAAGTGCTGGTGACACCATGAGACTGATTGAGGCTAGCTTTAGCCAGTGCTTTCCAGGTAAAACAATAGCAATTGTTTACTGGTAGGGGATGTTCTGGATTACTGATGGTTTTGAACGTGTGAACACACAGATTCCTTTCGCACCACTGCACAGCTTGGTCAGGATAAATCACACTGACCTGGACCCTCTCTATGATGGGAGTTGCCTGGAGCGGTTTCAGTGCTAGTCTGGGCCCATGGCTCCTGGAACACGGGAACTGCTGGAGCCAATAGGAAGCAACCACATCACCAGGAGGTGTGACAGACAGGACAACACACATGATATCACTTTTCATATTTTATTAGGAAAACAATGTTTTGCTCAATTTTTAAGTGACATGTTTATTGGATTACAAGGACAAGTTCCATGTAGGAGCAAAGTGACCCAATGACAGCGACATGTTTAATTGGTTAAAGGGACAGTCCCATGTAGGAGCAAAGTGACCTAATGACAGCGACATGTTTAATGGGTTAAAGGGACAGTCCCATGTAGGAGCAAAGTGACCTAATGACAGTGACCTTTTTAATGGGTTAAAGGGAGAGTCCCATGTAGGAGCAAAGTGACCTAATGACAGTGACATGTTTAATGGGTTAAAGGGACAGTCCCATGTAGGAGCAAAGTGACCTAATGACAGCGACACGTTTAATGGGTTAAAGGGACAGTCCCATGTAGGAGCAAAGTGACCTAATGACAGCGACACGTTTAATGGGTTAAAGGGACAGTCCCATGTAGGAGGAAAGTGACCTAATGACAGTGACATGTTTAATGGGTTAAAGGGACAGTCCCATGTAGGAGCAAAGTGACCTAATGACAGTGACATGTTTAATGGGTTAAAGGGACAGTCCCATGTAGGAGCACAAGTGACCTAATGACAGCGACATGTTTAATGGGTTAAAGGGACAGTCCCATGTAGGAGCAAAGTGACCTAATGACAGTGACATGTTTAATGGGTTAAAGGGACAGTCCCATGTAGGAGCACAGTGACCTAATGACAGTGACATGTTTAATGGGTTAAAGGGACAGTCCCATGTAGGAGCAAAGTGACCTAATGACAGCGACATGTTTAATGGGTTAAAGGGACAGTCCCATGTAGGAGCAAAGTGACCTAATGACAGTGACATGTTTAATGGGTTAAAGGGACAGTCCCATGTAGGAGCAAAGTGACCTAATGACAGTGACATGTTTAATGGGTTAAAGGGACAGTCCCATGTAGGAACAAAGTGACCTAATGACAGTGACATGTTTAATGGGTTAAAGGGACAGTCCCATGTAGGAGCAAAGTGACCTAATGACAGCGACATGTTTAATGGGTTAAAGGGACAGTCCCATGTAGGAGCAAAGTGACCTAATGACAGTGACATGTTTAATGGGTTAAAGGGACAGTCCTATGTAGAAGCAAAGTGACCTAATGACAGCAACAAGTTTAATGGGTTAAAGGGACAGTCCTATGTAGAAGTAAAGTGAGGCAGGGGGAGCTGTATTCCAGGAATACAGCTCCTAGCACTATGGTATCCCTTTAATGGTTTTTTTTTTTTTTTAAATGATGTATATTGAGATGTCTGTCTATCTGTCTATATATTTAGATACTTTTACTTTTTATCTCAAAAAGTTAAAGTATTGGTCATATTGGGTCAAACTCTACTGTTTTCTGACCAACTGCTACTAACTTGCTGCTGCTGTAATTGTTCTTTGTGAAACTGCCGCAGTTGGTCAGGTAACG